TGGCAAATAATAATAAAGTTAAACTTCTGTTTATTCTATTATTTGTAACTGTTCAGTATTCAGCTTTTTGCACAGTTTTGAGAAGAGAAACACAACTTCCCGATAGGAAGGTGCTGCCTTTGTAATCTATTGCTAAATAGAAGACCTAATTCATTTATCAGTCATAGTGTCCAATTTGTCATTATCTTAAATATATTGTAGTTGTATTAGAGAACATAAGTTTAAGATGAACTTCTGCACATGATAAGTATACACTGAAGCTGAACAGTTTTCTTACTTTTTGCAGAGAAATATAAAAACAATATTTATAAATAATGTTAAATTTGTTAGTTAGTTAGAATTGTATAGAACACATATGTGGGCTTGTGTCTCTATAACAAATTTCAGCCCACAGTGCTGCCCCATTGAACAGTGCTCAAAGAACTGACCCTTGGCTGAATCGTGAATTGTTGACCCTTGTTTTTTCCTAAAGAACTTTGCTGGGCCTTTCATTAGAGTTTTCAAGTGTTTTAGAGTGTGCATGCGTGGACATCAAATACACTGCAAAAAGTATGTATTGAAATTTGATTTGCTTTGAGATTTGAGAGTGAAGATCAGCACACCCGCTTGTAGAGTTTAATGGCCCTGACCACCATGATGATGAAGAGTTTCTGGAAGGGAGGGAGCCAAGGCTTCTACAGAGCAATGTTAGCATTTGGTTTACTGAGATAAAATGAAAATTTCCCTGCTGCTTACCATCCCCCTTAACAAATTTCCGCAGATCCCCCACAGCTGTCAGTGGTCGTCAGAAGTCTCAGTCTCAGAAAGTTGTCCCTGTACAGATTTTACACCTCCCCGTAAACCCCCTCCATTACTCTCCTCTCCTCTCCCATCATTCCCCTCATTGTGATGGTAATGGGCTCCATCATGCGTGACCAAAACGGTCAACTTAATTGATGAAAAAGAGATCACCAAGAGGGGGTTTGCATATATCAGACATGAAGGATTTTCATTCACTGAAGGCTTAAGGAATACATTAGGGTACTTGAGAACAGTTGAAGAAGGCTGTCAGTGGGTTTGACGCTCTCATGTAATGTGCTATTAGATTGCTTGGCATGACTCAACATCTGCAAGAACCAGCTCACAGCTGCTCGCTCAATCAAGACCCAGCCTACTCAAACATGCACAAGTGTAGTTCTGTATCAGTCAAAAATAACTTGTCAGTGCGGTCACCCAAACCAGCAGTGGGTCTGTTTCTTGATATTTCTCGACTATCCTACCCTTTCTATGCCACTTGGCCCCAAGCCAATTTATTACTACTGAACACATAAGTCTTTATAAGCAGGACTCAAATATTTACTTTTAATATATACATATTTTTAAAGGCTTAGTTATTTCATAAAATAGCTGGGTAAATAGTGTGTTTTTGTGTGGGACTGTTTCAGAATAAACTACAATGCTTATGTAGCAAAGGGAAATGTCATTGAGTGCAACAGTGTGGCTCAGTAGTGTGCTTTTTTGGACAACAAGGCTCTCCTCTTTGACAGAGAGGAATTAGAGGTAGCACACAGGCAGATTTAGGGTTATCAAAGCTGGAAACCTTGATGTGGCATAAAGTGGTACACTAACGGCGGTATCTCGACCAGTAGAAACTACTTTATGTCAAGTTATGATGAATGAGTCTTCGGTTTTCCTGACAAGGTCATAAGTAAATATTAAAGCATTTGAAAACATAAATATAAAATGCTAAACAAATGCTGCTGCAATACAGTTACAGTATATCTCCCAGAGCAGTGCTCATATTTGCTTTTTCAAATATTCAGCAAGGCTTATTAGTGACTTATTATATATATGTTATTGGTGTCAAAAACTGTTTGCAAAACAATTTGAGCAATAATCAGTGGTTTATGGATAACCTCTATTTGCATACAGCTGACAGACTAGCTTGCTAGAAGTGGTGGACTTTGTGTGTGTGTGTGTGTGTGTGCGCGTGCATGCGCTTGTTTTTATTTTTTTTGAAGGCTTAGACAGGAAGCTCACCTTTCTGTGGTGGGGGTAGAGTTTCAATAAAAGGTCTCTGCCAATAAACAACACTACCCTGCCTGCACAATGCCCATTGTTTATAAAAAGCTAATGTCAAAGCATTCAGCTATTGTGTAAAAATACAAAACTCTATCCTTTTGTTTGGAGAAAATAGGATTGAACATGGCTAAGATAAAAAATTACTGATATTGGGTGTTTCACGCTGTGCTGAGTGTGATTGAGCCTAACAATAACTCTATTTCCATCTACTTTAAATCAAGCTAAAGCAGTGGCAGGCTGTTCTGTTTCAGGATGATGCAACATGCCTCAATAAGGCTTCAACAGTCTTATTTTATAAATTATTTTATATGACAATTATCTTATTTGTTTTTTTATTTATTTTGTTTTTTTGTGTGTGTTGGTAAACTGACATTTTGTACACAGCAGATTCAACATTTGTCTTAGAAGATGCAAATATAAGCCTTGCTCTTCTTCAGTTATGAGCCCACCCTGTCCTATATTTAGACAGGTGAAGGATAAAAGTTTCAATGAAAATGGATAGCATCTGCTCCAGGTTGCAACTGATTGTTTTCCTTAATGATTAATCTGCCGACAGTTAATGGTTTGGTTTGACATTTCAAATTGCTTGTTTTGTCTGACATTCAGATTACACATAAGCAAAGATGCAATGCAAATCCTCCCAACTTAGAAACTGTTTTATTATTTGATTAAGCAAGTATTGAAATATTTTCTGTTTATTGACTAATCAAAGTCTAAGCGGCATTGTGAAGGCAATGTTTCGACACTACCAAATCATCAACAGGGCAAAAAATATCATCATAATGTTGCTTTTTCTCTGTCCAGTTAAGTTTTGGGAGCTTTAAATCCTGTGTGCGGATGCTCTCCATTTTGTCTTACATTATGATAAAGTGCTCAGGGAAAGTGACTGTCTTAAGCTGATGTCAGCCGTGATGTGTCAGTGTTCTGTCATCAACCAGTCTGAGACGCCTCCCAAAACAACCATTTCTCTAGCTGACCACTCTAGAGCCCAGTGTGCTTGACTGTGTCTCTGCTTTGCATGCTCACTGTGCAGGTAGACTATGTGTGTCTGTCTGTGTGTGTGGTTTTGGGTGACACTTCCTTGGCATTCCAGCCATTCCCCTGGTACCTGGGAACTGGCCTGATCTCCTCCAACAGGATATTTTTAGATCCTGAGTAGCAGCTGCTTGTGTCTCTGTCTGCACAGACAGCCCAGCCGTCTGTTGACTGACACATGTGTTACGGCTCAAGAAACTGCACAGTGTGTTTGTAATAATGCTGCCTCAGTCAGGCTGTTTTTCAGATTATGAAGACTTAAGTTAATACAGGTGTGCGTTTGTGTAATTATGACTGCAATGGGTGTAAGGTGGTGTTGTAGTCTGTGTTCAATATGCTTAGCTGCAAGGTAGGCAACCTTTCTCTCAACAACAACCCAGCGCTGTGGCTTTTCTCACATTTTACTGAGTCATGTTCGCCTAGAGGTTTTTGTGCTTGCCAGATGAACGGCAAACAGCGAGATAAGTTGCAGTGGAGTGCAGCAGCAGACATGTACAGTAGTTGAACCCTACTATGAAACATCAGCAAAAAACAAACCAACATTTCGACAGTCACATTTTACATTTAGAGTGGCAGTTGGTGTTGTACATCAGATACCCAAGGTTACAAAATCAGCACCTTGATACTGAATAAATACGACCGCTTAACATTCAAAAGCCTTTTAAATGTATAAAATCTCAAAAGAGAGTGTGTTCTTTCTACAAAACAGGCATGTACTACGCACCTATTAGCGCAGAGAAAACCAGTATTAATATCTGGTACTGTTGTTGATATATTAATGAGAAAAGGCTACTGTGCTACTGTTAAGAGTCACCAGCAAAGAGGGCCTAGAAAAATAACGTCTGTATTTTCATTGTCTGTACTCTTCTGTCACAACCAAACTCTTAAACCATGACAAAGAAAGTGGAATACACACCGGTGTGGTGGGAAAGTAAAATGTATTGGTAAAAAAATATGGTTAAAAAACTCAGTGTGTGTAATGGTAGTCACTAAACCAGTGTTGTAGGGTGTAAAATAAAATGATAAACACAGAAGAAATCATGTTTATTCTTAATTTTTACTTTGATTGTTGCCTATTAAGACCTGAATTTTGATGATCTCTAATATCCTCTTTCTCTAGTAATTTGCCCAATACGCAAATAATTGCGATTAAAAGTTAGGAAATTACAACAAGGAAGAGAGTCAAAAAAAGCAAGCATTAAAACAAAACGGAAATGTAACTATTTGGTGGTTTGTGTTTCACTCTGATAAAAATAAAAGGTGTATGGTGGTGATGATGGGCTACATTGTGTACTGATGACCTACTTTAGCTCAGAATATTGTTGTGTGGTTACAGAAGTTACAGAATGCTTATGCAGTTTTTTTCCCTGCACAATCATATCATTTTGTCATGGCCCAGTAGTAATTGTATTGTATTGCTGATATTGATCAACGCACTTTTGTTTAAAACAGGCTTATATTTTCAATTATGATCAGATGAGAAATGATAATAATTTTTTATAAAGTAAAACTTTGATTACATTAATGGCTCTCAGAAAGCTAATAACATACCAATCGGACCTCTACACAGAACTGTAATGTGTAGTAGTATTAATGTCCGTGTTCCTGCAGTTTATCAAATTGTTTCAAACTCTAAACAGAATCCAAAACTGGTTTTATAAACATTTTAACAATGTTGTAGATGTTTGTTGAATGTTCAGTATGTGACTGATGTGAAATGTTTCCTGCAAGCCGCTAATAAGTCATACTTTCTGTCTTTAGAGGAATATCAGTGGCAAAGTATAATAAGGTTTAAAATCAAAACAAATGTGATATTGCTGTACTGAAGCACCAACTGTCTTTGACTTCCTAATGTTGATTTGCTAACAGACGTGTGTGTGTGTGTTTTATTTGTACCTTGGCAGGGGGAGAAGAATGCCGGCTTTGACGTGCTGTATCACAACATGAAGCATGGCCAGCTGGCAACCAAGGAGCTAGCCGAGTTTGTCCGTGAGAGGTAAGGTTCGAGTGTATTTGTGAGTATCTGTGTGGGAGGTGACTGTAGTGATGGGACGGGTGGAGAAATTCTACATTATTGACTCTGTACTTGGAAAGAAAAGAGATTGTGCCAATGTTGGGTGAAAAGCTCAGAGATTATAAATGAAGTGTTATGGATTCCATCTTTTACTATATCTAACAAGATTCATGATTAAGTCCATTTCAAAGTCCGTCAGCAGAATATAGATTATAGAGAGAACACTTTCTTTCTTTTGTTAAAACCGCTTCAGACGTCTCTCTTTGCTCTGATCTCTGACCCCTCCTCACTCTGTGCTACTTTTAAAGTGTGCTATCTCTCCAGCACACACACACACACACACACACACACACACACACACACACACACACACACACACACACACACAAGTCTGAGTATGTGGATTATCATCTGAGCTTCCTGCCCTACAGAGAGATATCTTTTAAGCATGTTTGCAACTGTTGAGTTTCTAAGTAGAGTGGTAGTGCTCTATGTCGGAGGCTTCTGGTTCTGGAAATAAATATGCCATTCATTTTTCCCATAGACAATTTCAGGTGGCTCACAGTTGAAGCACTTTTACTGCTTGGATCAACTCTCATGGTTAAATCGTCAGTCCAAAATATTAACAACACTTTCATAGTTACAAACCTGTGTACATACAAGCTTTGAGGTAGAAGCTAATTACAACTCACCTTTGTGCATGTAGGCAACAAAGCCAATAATCAAGCTTAAAATTCTGATGTTTACCACTAACAGCAGGCAGAAGCTCAAGATGACAGGTGGCAATAACATGCCAAGATATGCAGCATTATGGCAGCAAAGGCAGGGAAGAAGACTACAAGCTAGTAAACAGGGATGTAAACAATGTTGGATTTAAAATACTTAAAGAATACACACAATTCATTTGGTGCCACTGAAGGAAAACTAACTTTTGTTAGTTTATGAAAACTCCACTAAATGATATGTTTTTCCCATCATCATCAATCATACTTAATTAACTGTCTCTGCTCTGCAATACAAGAGCAATACTTATTTATTCCCATATTATTCTTATTGATCATAAACTGGTAAACGATGTTGACTTTTTGTTTTTTGCCTGTTAGCTTTAGCCTCAGATATTATGTGCGTAGCCATCAAGTACATATTTATTTAAAACGCTTTACAAGATTTTCCTTTTAAAATTAGTCAGTTGGAAACATTAAAGAGACACCATTTCCAACCAATTAATTAAGCTAACATTAGCTTGATCAGCCAGCTAGCTACAGCTGATTAAAAACTACTATCAACATTGCTGGCTGGAAATGAGGAGTCTGCTTCGGTTTACCTCTGTCTGAAATGAAGGACCCATTTATTCAAAAATACTAAGAATTTTTAGGGGTAAATCTAGCACCATTGTTATTGTAAAAGACATATTTGCTGTGCGAGAACTGAAAGCTTGACAGGCTTGCCAATAGTACCTAAAGGGGGCAGTCAATTACCAAATTAATTGTCTTCTCAAAGTGGGTAGTTTGTTATATTGAATACTGTTCTAATCAGCGATTAGCAGTGAGTTTGTGCTCTCACAGCTGGAAGTTAACATACACAGAGTGCACTGTCAGGCCAGTGATATAATCCTGACATTGATTCCACAGCGCCTGTGCACATTCCTCACTGGGGAAATTCACTTATCTTCTTGGACAGCAGCGGACAACAAATCAACCGTGAGGAAATGAAATAGGGCCACTGGGTAAAATAGTGTGTGATCCCACAGGACGGAGGGAAAGGCAATTGTGTTGATAAATTTCTGTATTTGTCTCGCTCCACTTACTTGAATAGCCATTTAGATATAAGACACAATATGAAACACTCATCTAAAGTACCATAACAACTCAAACCTAATTCTCAAGGTTTCTCAGTTGCTGCATGTGACATTCACTCCCGTCATCCTGGTACTCCGTTTAATGGAGATGTATTACCACTTCTTGTTTGTGGGGGGACAATTGGTAGGGATACACAATAGACATAACTCAATTAGTTGGTCAACATTATGGTACTCAAAAGACCATTCTGATAATGTATTCATCGTTGAATTATTTTTATCAAGTTAAAATCACAATTCTTTCTTTTCAAATTCAAGAATATGCAGCTTGTAAGTAGAAAACTTTTGGATATAGAGAGAGCATAATTATACACGCATTACATTCAGTACTTAGGTAATACACTGATTCCAAACCACACATTTATTTGGATGGACAAAGTTCAATCCCAGGTCAAAATAAACTGATCATCTGATTTATGATAGATTTTTAAATGAATGTGATTGAAACATTGTCTTTCTAAATAAACTAGCAGTGATACTGTAAATTTATGGTTGGGAGCGAGTGTGTAGGCATTACTCTTGTTTCAGCACAGTGCAGATCTGATCGGGATTGAAATCTTCCTCCAATAACTGATTTTTTTTTTTATCACTTGGGGACAGAAACAAAATGTAAACACAACTTTGAAATATTATCACTCTTTAAGACGATGTGGTAAACTTGTTGCAGGTGCTTATTTACACATCCAGCAGGGATTGAGCTAGTTAATTGAAAATGAAAATATTTATGAGCCCTTATTGTGATCCAGTTTGAGTTCCAACAAAACCCACCGCTCAAGAACAGCAGTGTTATTCTTTTTGTTTATGACTTTCAGTGCTTCTCAGTCGCAAGTTGTTCTGTTCACCCCCAGGATATTTGGATCAATTCTCCTTCCTTCTTTCTCTTCAGGGTCTACAGATGGTTATTAAAGTTTTATGCCCAGCCTTGCAAAACATGTCAATTTATCATTTAAATGTGGCTTATTGCAACATTTACCCTGCACTGATGAAAATGAATCTTTATCTCAATGACTCTGGTGATGGATGCCCAGAGTTTGGACCAAAGTAAGCACTAGATAGAGAACATAACTTATGAGGCCATTAGCAGAGGCAATCGCGTTGTGAGGAAGTGCTATTGGAGTAAATCACATTCACCAGTCTAAAGTTTATTTAGAAGAATTTCCATTTTAAAGAATGCACACAACATTACTCTTCCTGTTGTTCTTACTGGCAACTCAGACACTGGTAGAAAAACAAAAAGAAAGAAGCCTCTTCTGAGGTTTCAAATTTGTGTGTTCATGATTCTCTGGTTTCTCTTTGGCAACTCTAAATTAGAGTATTGTATTGGTTATTTTAGTAATGCCAATGTGTGTGTTTGTTTTTGCAGTGCTGCTATTGAAGAGACCTACTCCAAATCAATGAGCAAACTCGCCAAGATGGCCAGCAACGGAAGTCCACAGGGGTGAGTTCCATCATGTAAACACATGACAGTCCATCAACTTCAACCAACAGCCCTCTTTCATCCCCTTCATTGCTTTACAGCTGAATGTATACAGTTGGAACGTGTTTGTTACTGTAATTATACATGTAATGGTCATATGGTTACACATGAGATATGAATTAGTACCATCTGCATCACCAAATGTCCGTATTTATGATTCAAATTATTCACTGTCCGCTATTTAGCCTATAGGGTTTGATGCATATGTTGTTTATTAAATGACAGATTTTCTTGTAAATGTATGTACCTACCTAGCGATGAAAAGTTGGATAAAACAATAAATGGTGCTATTTTATTCCTGTAGGCAATGGCATAAAACCATTTTTAATGAACTGAAAACATATTTTCTTAATCTGCTTCTTACTATGAGTGATGGGTTTCTGCATGAAAAGAGTCGGAAACGATTGGTTATTGCACTTGAGATATTTCTGTGGGATATTTTTGTTTCTGTGCTTCTCATCGGTTTTAAAGTGGACAGCGCTCAGTTAGAGGAAAAAAATGTCATGTACTTACTTCCATGCACCAATCCAGATTCAGTAAAGAATCAAAAATGTGATACCAGTCGGTTCAAGTCTGATCAGACCACACCCACACAGTCCCGTTCAAGCAGATGGGCTGAGTTTTTGAATGATAAACTCTTAATACCTCCGGATGTACTTAAAATGTGATTGCTGCTTATTTAGTCCTGACTGTTTAACACTTATTTCAGCTTTTCAATATCTTGTACATATATTAATGTTAATATATTAACAGCGGCAGAAAATGCAGAGTTAACCAGTGGTTGACTTTTCACCTTGCTGAGGTTTTTTCATTATTACATATTCATTTCATTACATGTTCTTTTTTTATGAGTGAGCTTGGCTGTTTTTTAGTCATGTTTTATAATGGTTTGTAGTTACACAATGTTTAAACCTTTTTAATGGCTGAGCTGAAATGGAAGAACATTTTTTCGTTCACAGAAGCTTTAGTTACCAAAGTCTTGGGAAAGTAATTTTATAACATGTCCACAATTTGACACTTGGTATTAGAATAAATCTTTATTGAAAAAGTGGTTTAATCTTTGCAGTCTCACGTGTGTGCTTGATGCTTACCTGTGTATTTCCTAGGACCTTTGCTCCCATGTGGGATGTGTTCAGGGTGTCATCAGACAAACTCGCTCTCTGCCACCTTGAATTGATGAGAAAGATGAATGATCTCATCCGGGACATCAACAAGTACGGAGACGAGCAGGTCAAAATTCACCGCAAGGTAAGTAACTGGGGTGAGGGAAGTTGGATGCTTTACCGATATCCTGACCTGACCTGTCCTGAACATCGACTTGAATATTTTTTCATTACTTGTTCTGCATTATGCCTCTGTCTTCCTGATCTGATTTATCTCACAGAAAATCCAATTATTGTCTTCTCCCTTCATGGTAATGCATTTTCCCTTAAAGTATCAAGTACAATAATGATCTGTACAGTATGTCTGTGTGTTGTATTTTTGTGTGTGTGTGTGTGTGTGTGTGTGTGTGTGTGTGTGTGCATGCATATCACCCAGACAAAGGAGGAGATGGCGGGGACAGTGGAGGCGGTGCAGGCACTGCAAGTTCAGAGCGGTCACCTTCAGAAGTCAAAGGAGGGTTACCACGCCAAGTGTTTGGAGCTGGACCGGCTCAGGAAGGAGGGAGGTCCACAGAAAGAACTGGAGAAAGTTAGCCACCACTTTCTCTATTTTCAAGATTGTTTTACAGGCAGTTCAGATTTTAAACAGAACAGAAGCTAGCTAATCAAGTGTCCTCTGAAAGAAACTTAAAGGGTTGGTTCACACAAATCTGTCTCTGAGATTTCTGCCTCCACCCCAGTACAAGGAAAGTGAGGTACTATTTAGTTTGTGGTGCTAACAGCATTGAAATTATACTTTGAAAACTTCAGTAGCATCTTTCCAAAAACCACGTCGCAGTTACACAACTAACAAGAAAGTAGGGAAGGATCATTGTGCCCACCCTTGTTTACTCTGTGTGTTTAAATCAGCAAAATCTGCATTGTGCAACTGGTTCACACTCTCTACTGTAATTCTCTGTTGAAGTTCACATTGCTGTTTCTTTAGTCTTTTGTGATGCACAGCATTTTTTAGAATACATGAGTGCGAATCAGTTTACTTTATGCTAGATCATACCAAAGAAATAGTTCATATCAAAACTTTATTAGTTAGTAGAGTTATTTTGTAGGTGAAGAGGAGCAATCCTTGAACAAAAAACCCATCAGATTTTAGAAGAGCTAATAGTCACTGGTGGTGATGATGTATAAATCCACTATTTAAAATCGTTCATGGTTGAGTAATAATCATTTAACAAAACGCTCCCAACTCAAGGTCCACCTACTACTTGCTCTGTTGAAAGCAACCATAACACACATTGTCCTTATGGTCTTTATTCATTATAATAAATCCGTGTTATTTTTTTACTATGCAACATAGTTGATATAGCGAAAAGAGTTTTAAAACAAATGCTTTTCATTATAATAAATCAAAAAGCAGACATGTATAATAAATCTGAAAGGGCATAATTTGTAAATTTGTATTAAAAGAATATTCAAGTCCAGATGATCCATTGTCCTGCATCAATATTCCTTAGAAAGCTCTGGGATGTCACGTTATTATTGTCTGTCTTGTGACCCTAAAATTCATCATATGCTTGTTTCTTGTGGTTCACTCATGGTGACAAGAGTTGTCTGTTATATTGAGATTAAATTAATTAGCTTTTTCCTGTCTCATTTACTCACTGAGCTATTCATTTTTATTCCAGGTTTCTGAATGAGAGTCCATAGCTAAAGGCCATTATTTTACTCTTCCTTTTCTTTCTCACTAGGCGGAGCTGAAGTCTAAGAAAGCAGCTGAGTCATTTGCGTTGTGCATCGAGAAGTACAACCGCGTCGGAGGAGAGTTTGAGCAGAAGATGAGCGAGTCTGCCCAGGTCAGCTCTGACTGCTGCTAGGCTGAGGGCCACTTTTTTTTGTGTCTCTCTCCCACCCTCTTATTATCTTTTTTTTTTTTATGTATTTCTTCTTCTCCTGGGCTTTATTGTTCTCTTCATCTCAGTGACTCACCCTCTCTGTAACCTCCCACCACACAAGAACTCCCTTACCCTTTCATTTATTATCCTACATCATGTCATCCCGAAAGATGGAAACCTCCACCCCCTACTCCTAAACACCCACCCACTTGCACACATGCACTCCATGCCCCCTGCGCTCATTAACTTTAATCACTGCCTCCACACTTCCATGGTTACTGCTACTGTTTCCATGGAAATCTTCAACAATCCCCAATGACAGCTTCTGTATTTTACTGTTGAAATGATTGAAATCCTTGTGACCAATTATTTTGAGCTTTGAGGAGGAAGATCTGGTCATTATCATGAGGGGGAATGTGGTACCTGGAAGAAAAACACGTGTTAAAAGATGGAAGAAGAAATTGAGGAAGACTAAATGAATAATAGATCAGTAAATAAGAGACCAATGTGCTTTTTTTTTAAGTAGATCAGAAGATAAATTATTTCATATCTGTAGTTCAGTTCATTTGGTCTGGACCAAGGGAAAATAAAACACACATTGTTGTCTTGTTTGCTTGTTTTACAAACAAACTGCAAACCTGAAATTATACAGATGGACAGGTGACTTATGATTGGACCGTTTTGGCATCGTAGACCCATTTAGGGAAATCAGATTCCAGTGACTGACAGCAAGTTATACTGCACATTACTGTATATTTAGCTCCTCTGGTGTTCATGAAGAGCTCACGAAAAAGAAATAGACAAACAGGACAAAAAGAGGCATTTTGTACTGTGTGGTTGCTTCCTTTAACTCATTTTACTCCCTTTTTATTGGGGAGCTTCTTAAATACACAGGGATATCCCCACAGTTGCATGGTACATACATGTTACTGTGGTTACCAAACAATGTTCTATAAATATAAGCTATACGTTGCTTATGCAGATTGGATGCTTGGAGGATGCTTTCTAAACAGTGCATGATCAGCAGATGGATTTAACAGTAATTTCACTTCATTCTAAAATCACATATCAACTATCACACAGGCTACTTGTTGGTCCATGTGCCTTCACACCATCAACAAACCGAACCACAGTCCGCTTGGAAGTAGACTGAGACCTTCCTTTTCAGGGTCTCTTGGTCCCAATGCACCAGATTTTGATTGAACGCTTTCACACCAGCCCAAAGGAACTGAACTAAACAGGCAAACGCGCAAGAGTTTGTTAAAACTGAACCAAACAGTGTAGGTGTGAAAGGATCCTAAAATACCGTTTGCAGAGCCTAGGGTGGTGGCGCATGACAGATGGTAACGAAGTTCAAATGCTGACAGCAGTTGGGAAGAGTCAGCAGAGAATGTTTTATGTTTGCTCTCTCTGTCCAGTTTTTGGCCAGTTAATTGGAGAAAAGAAACTCTGCTCACAAACTAATTTCTCAAACAAAAGCCAATGGCACTAAATCAAGACAATTCCCCTAAACCAGACAGCGACAAATGAGCTGGCTGACTAAAGAGCAGGATCAAACTTAAATACTAAATCCCCTTGAAATTATTGCTGGTTTAAAGACCTGGCAACCCTGAGCCTCTTCTGCTGGCTGCCTGCCTCTCTGTAGCTGCTCCTGAATCCTCAGATCTGGTTAAAAGGCTATTTTCACTTTATTGCATACTATTGCAGTGAATTTAGAGTTTAAAGTTCCTGTTTTGTTGGATTTTGGTTGCTTCTCTGAATGTTCCTGAAATCCATACCATTCTGCACAGACACAGTGAATTGAGGAAGAACAACAGAAAGAAACAGAAACAACCACAGCAATAAAGATTAACATAACACGTACCAAAGACAAAGAAGCAACCACTAAAATAACAATACCAGACAAAAACACAAAATCAGCCTCTTATCAATGAACATATCCTGTAGAGCATCAGACTTAACAACATATTTATAATTCGAAATCAACAAGTCATCACAAAAGGAAAGCCAAATCCTAATTCTAGTATATACATTTACACACTTGTGAAAACTACTGGAAAAGTTGCATTTTTTTGCTGTTTGTTAAAAAAATCTTGTGTCCAAAATCGAGCTTTTCAGCAACTTAAAAACCAGCTGTGTTTTAAAATAGATGTCTGTGTAGCTTTGGTGGTATTTGGTTAATTTGCACAAACGTTCAGTGAATGACATCCGCCCAAAGAGAAATACAGCTTAACCAACAATTTAACAGTTTAACATGTTAACAGATTATTTTTCTTCTTTGCCATGGTGTGTGTGTGTGTGTGTGTGTGTGTGTGTGTGTATACATGTTTGTGTGAGTAGAAGTTTCAGGAGATCGAGGAAGCCCACCTGCGGCAAATGAAACAGCTGATCAAAGGTTACTCCCACTCTATAGAAGACACCCATGTTCAAGTGGGACAGGTGTGTTGTAGCTGACAATACAACCTGCTCTGATGACAGTTACAAAGATTCAAGATATATCTATAAAAAAGTCATGTTAAAATAGAGAATGCAATTTCTGAAGAAACTACTCTTATTTCATTACTAATTTATGAGCCATCATTACCAACAGTTTTTTTTTTTTTCATCAGGCTATCCTTGGAGTAATGTTTAGTTAAAGCTCAGCGTGATAACTTGGCACAACAATAGCACCCTTGTTAGACTGTCAGAATTTGCCATTGTAGTTTCATTCCTCCTATTGCACGATTGATGTTAATACACAGAAGTGATTTGGAATTTAGTCCTTGCAAATGCTTTAGTAGTGTAAAAACATTTTTTCCATTCTGATTCCATTTCTTGAGCTCTAAAGGCATTTATTATGTCTGATACGTAAAAGCCAGATGCTCCCTGGTGACAAAAAACATACCTTTTTTGGAACTTTTTTTATCTAATCGTGAGGACCAAATAATCATTATGTTCTGCTGCAGGTTCACGAGGAATTCAAGCAGAATGTGGAAAACATCGGCATCGACAACCTCATCCAGAAATTTGCAGAGCTGAAGGGCACAGGCAAAGACAGACCAGGTACAGTCGGCTCACTGGGGTGGATTTTGGCTTGTTTCCAGTAGAAGGGAAATAAAAGCATAAACACACAGCTTACATAACAGTAGAAATGTGAAAAACACCCACACTCAAAACAGTATTGTGGAGGCGAAATAATTCATAGTGACAAGATACAACAGTGAGTTGTAACTTCTACAGAGTGCCTTTATGCATACATTTGTGTTTTCTGAATGTGTTTTATTCTTATGAAGCTACCTATTGTCTTGGCAGCTCTGGTTGGTTTTGATGAGTACATGACAGCTTTCGCACCTGAAGGTGGGAAAAAGAGTCGAGTGAAAACCTTTAGGATCCCCGGCCTGGGCAAGCGGGACAAGGAGCCAGACTCTACGTGAGTATATCTCACACACACACACACACACACACAAATATGCTGTGCTCTACAAGCCCTGATCATTTGAAACTGAAATTTGATCTTCAGTCTGAGTCAGTACTGAATAATCAAAACACATCTATGTGTTTTTGGTATTTGCAGAGACTCCGCAGTGACGGACGCACTGGTGAGTATCGGATATAATTCACACCCAAACATCGCAGCTCCAAAATCATTGACTCAATCATTGGTTTTGTCTGCAGTTATCCTTGAGTGTTTAGAGCACTTCTGGACTGTGAGAAGAGTGGGGTTTTTTTTGGAGGGGGGGGCTTTACATCAGGCGACGGCGTAGCCTCTGCGTAACCCCTTAGCCTACGCCGTCGATTTCACGCAGAAGTATAAATTTAAATTAAGTGTCTGTGCATGTATAGTAAGAAGGTGAGCTGTGGATCATGTGTGTGATAGGACGTGACTGATGGTGTGGAGTTTCCCAGGTTTATTCTAGTACTTCTGAGAAGAGGTTTCTGAGATACTTTGGCAGCCAGAGGGGAAGTGTGTGACTGCATAAGGGTGTGTATTTGTATATGTATGTGCCTGCCTGTGTGCACGTGGTGTGTGTATGTGTTTGTGTGTGAAAGGACTTTAGATGCTGTCAGAAAGCCACCACACAGACTGACGTGGAAGAAGAGGGTGAACAGCAAGTACTGGTAATGTTAGCAGAGGTCACTTTTAAAACATGTTGCATAAGAGCACAGGCACCGATAGTCTATTCACCTTCTAGGTTGAACATTATAAAAGTTATTATCTAAACAAAAAAAGAGAGAGTGTCTATATGCATTTCTACTGATGCTTGATTTATTTTATTTTTTAAAAAAAAGTTAAACCAGAAAGCAAGCAAGTCTGCTGTCATTAGATCATAATAGTGTTTTCCTCCAAAATATATTGTTGGATGCTGAGAAGCCCTTAAAGAAACATATAACTGAATGAGAGGGTGGATGCAATTTAGATTTTAGTCAAAGTGCAAGTCTCTACTACTTAAAGCTGCGTTTATGGATGTTTTGCTACTAGAGGGTAGAAGAACTCTGACACAAGTTTACCGACAAACATCACTGACATACTAAGGTTGCATTGGACTTTCTTGTTGTCCATTATTTGGACAAGAGCAGGCTGTGTACAGTGAATTTTTAAAACTACTTTTTTTTTTTGCTGAAAACGCCTGCCTGCTGTGGCCAAAAATGGGGTGAGAGTGAATCAAAACAGGATAGTTGCGGGCAATGCAGATAAACAATGAGCTAAAGCTCTGAAAAGCCACGTGGAGCTGCAGATTCAGGTGATAATTCTCTGTAGGTTCATCATTATGAGTGACCCTTTTCACATTTTCTCATTGTTTTCATGCTGTCATTTGAAACGTTATTGTAAAAATATCAAATGTAGTAGCTTTAAATTTATGTGACTGCTGTAGTTACTTCGACTTCTTCAGTCTCAAGACACCATTACGCATTAAAGAACCAGTTCTGAGTATTCCTTAATCACTGTGGTCTGAAAAAACATCAGTGGCTACAGTTACACTTGTCATGTTAACTTGACCTGTTGAGATCTGTTGTGAAATCAGATCTAATCAAATACCATCTCTGTATGCCCACACTCAGTTTAAAAATAACTGCTCCCAGGTTAGCTGGATTGTAAGTCTGGCCTTCCTCATGTCTCTTATTTTGAACATCATATGACTATAACAGCTGACATGTTTCTACACATTCTGGCTTGATGAAATGATTTAAAGCAAACTGAAAGCACACCTGTAGCTTTAGCACACTGCTTTGTTTGAGCTGTTGGCACTAACATGTTAAATGTTTAACAGTTGTAGCAGTTAGTCACTGACTCACACTTACACTTTTAACTAATTTGTAGGGTCTGTTTATTCTCTCACGCACTCTAATATAAAGCTCACAGTTGTGCGTGCAGGCTGCAGTGCTGAGTAACACAGTATGATAAAGCACTTCTGTGTGTATCATATGTGACTGAAGTGCCATTTGTCTCAGTGTTGCTGACCCAGCTGGTGTTGGACTCCTTCTCTTTCTCCTGTCTCCGTGTGTGTGTGTGGGTGTGTGTGTGTTCCCATTCATATAGAATTCACCCCTGGAAGTAGACGATGAGGGATTTGTCATCCGAGCTGACAGCGCACAGAATGATATCCTTTTTTGGCTCAAAAGTTTAGACAGGATAATTAATACAACAATATCATATTACAACTTTTAACTTTTCATTCTTTAAATAATAACACTCATTTATAGTCATTATTTGTTTTAGGTTAATCAAGTTACTATCAACGGGTGTTTTTCTGTGCCAAATACAATTTACCAAAGGGCTCTTGAACTCTACGGGATAGATGAACATAATTCTTCCAAAAGATTTGGTGTTTTGATGATGGTGATGGAGAGGGCTATCTAACACATTAGTCCAAAATCTACCATAGGTGTTCAGCTGGGTCTTTTTGACCCTTTTTGAATTAAAACAAACCAGAGTTAGAAGCACAACTGTAAATTAACAGTAACTGGAGCCTTTTTCCAATTCATCACATCACTTCAGTTAAATCACACACATATTTCAGATTCATAAAGATGTCTGAAGGATTTCACAAACTTGACTCCCTCACATGACACAATTTGCACCAAATTAAACCTCATGAGACTGTTAAATAGACTCTAAAAAAAACACTAACTGAGATGGAGGCATTTTAAATAAAGCGTAATCAGAAGGTTGGAGGTAAGAGGGTGGTTTTAATTTGTTCACACAAACGGCTACTTTCATGGCCTCATTAACTGTAGAGCCAGACCACTATAAAGATCTTTATCCTATTTGTTAGCGCAAATAACTGAATGCCTCCCCTTTGTTAAATACAGACGAGCAAAAGCCTGCCATGCACCACAATGGGATATGAATAAATTGTCCTCCTAACCTAACACTCAATGTCCTGGCTCTTCAGCCCTGATCCATTTATCAGTGGTAGCCCTCAGTCCTGACAGCTCTGAGATAACAACTCTTCCTGACTTTGTCATCCTACCAGTCGAGGTCCCCTGCCTGCTCAGAATAGATGGTTCACGTTCTTTAAAGGCCTTCAGGCAGCATATGTCCTGCAGTTTGTCTGAATCTTATAAACACATGACCCAAAAACACCTCACATGAAATGACATAACACTTCCACGTGCAGGAGAGGCAAAAGAAAGCGGACGAGAAGGCGACTTCCGTTAGAGGTGATGGTGTGGCAGGAAGTGGCAGTTTGGCTGCTCTGCACTCCTCACCTCCAGCACGCTCTGTGGTGCTTCTTCCTCCATTTTTGTTTTGCAAATGTGTCTGTGTTGCACTGTACGTTGCTTCACATCCCTTGTCTGATGTCCTGATTTGTTCAGTCTTACAATGGATAAAAATTGCTCTCTTTGCTCTTCAAGGAAAAAAAATCCCAGCATGTGTCCAAATAGTAATTTTCACAGAGAGCAGAGGTAATAAAACTCACACCTGCTGGTTTATAATGCATTTTTTGGTCTCAATTTAGTTTTATTTCACAGTTGCTTTGGTTCCATTTTTCAATGTTCAGTTTTCTTTGCTCTTATTATTGTCCTCAAAATTTCACACAGCACCACATCTGTATCAAGTAATACATAATACAGTTTATCAGAGCATTAAAACATCGTCATAAAAACAGGATATGCAGTGAATATTCTTCAAGATTATACAAACGGCAACACGAAAAAAAATGTAATTTATGCAGAAGTAAGTATTTGAATTTTTTTAATTTTAATTTTATTTTAACTTTATTGCAACAAGAAAACAGACCGAGACCTGGATCTCTTTTTAGCCTGTGCCCTGTGTAAACATGTACAGTAGACAAACAAGCAAATATTTAAAAATGTATTAAAACAAACAAAACCAAGTGTTTAACTTAAAAGGTAAAGGTACTTTATTGTCACATACATATACACGTAGCGAAATCTATTCTTTGCATTTAACCCATCCCTTAAGGAAGCAGTGGGCAGCCACTTTGCAGCGCCTGGGGACCAACGGAATGGAGAACATTTTTCGTTTACACTTATCTAAAATACATTAGGCTTTCAGCAATACAACAGTATTCAACAGTATATAGTCCTGGAAACCATATAACAGTACAGCAAACCACCATTTACACTTACAACATACACCAGACAGACACGCATTGCAGCATATTTACAGTAATCAAAAGCAGACATTTTATTTCTTTAACCTTTCTACTAATGCCTTACTTTTGGAAAATATGACTTGTCGTGCTCAGGCAGTTATGTTGCAATGCTTTTCACAATTTATTAATGTTAAGATTCAGTGAAGAATTTATTGTCATTCTCTCCACATACTCCCAAAATTGCATTCCTTCAGTGCTTCAGTGTACACAATAAGAACAGATACAATAAAAAAAGACAAGACTGAATTGCAAATAGTATTAAGTTAAGTGCAATGAATGAAAAGTTCCGTTACACATGTAAAGATATGCCTTTAATTAAAAACAGTGAAAGGTTCAAATGGATAAAACGGTTAAATAAATAAAAAATGATAAAAAAATAAAACAAGGAAAAATCCTTGCAAACACATGTTGCATTGATTTGTGCTAAATGCTTGGGATTAATATTAGGTGGCTGTATTTGGAGGAATGAGCTGATTTAGTGTTTTGCACTAAAGAATAGAAGAATGTAAGAATTCAAGTCTGATCGACTCTCTACGTTACAAGTTTTTCACATTAAAACTAAAAATGAATCCAAAACAGTGGTAAAAGCCAATGTAAGCCAAAAAGGGCTCTCTTTGTCTCTTTCAAAGGGCCTGTAACACTTTCTTTTCTTGACGCGCACTTGCCATCACTACAACACCATCACTTTTCATTCCCTGTTTATAGTAGGAGCTTGTTCTCCTTGACCATCCTCTCTCTCTGTACGCTGCTCTGAGGAGAAGGAGAACAACTTTTACTCCAGTGACTCAGACTTTGACGACGAGGAGCCCAAGAAGTTCCACATCCAGATCAGACCGGTCGCCAGCAGCAATCGCAGTAACTCTGCTGCCACAGAGAAAGAGCTGAAAGCCACCGTGGGGGCGCTCACTCTGCCGCCTAACAGAGGGGAAAGGCAAAAGGTTGTTGTCATTTTCTGTATGTTTGTCAGGATTCTTCTTAAGACATGAGCATTTTTCCCCAAGAAGATAAAGACTTTTTCTAAACGCAGATACCCTGAGCTAGTTCCATTCCCAGAAGAAGGCTGAGAATGAGTCTCCACTCTCAAATGTAAACCTTACGATTACATATTAGCATGTTGTACGTGTTTAAGGACAATCCTGCCAATATTATCTTATGTTTTGCCTTATTGTCAACAATTCCCATTAAAAAAAACTAAATCAACAAAGAATTCATCCAACTATTTCAGCTGTGTAGCCACAGCCTGATAGATTTTATTCATCTTCTCGTTATCCAAAAAATGTTAATGTTAGTATTAAAGTATTATTATCACTGTTCCACTGGGTAAAATGTTGATTCATTACAATGAACATGAGTCCTGCTGCTGTAAATAATCACTACAGCCCCAAATGCATGCTAATTTGCAGCTGAAAATAGTCCCAAAGAAGCACAATTACTTCTTTGTCTTCAGGGTTTTGGTTCATTTCCTTTACATGAGTCATGTGTATTGACCAGATCTATTCCCCTCTCTTGATTTTCAGGTGTCTGTCAAGCGCCATCTCTCCAGTAAGTTCATTCAAATGTTTCTCTTTCCTGTACCATAAAGCAACAGGGAATATATAGTATGTTGTTGTCTGTGTACTGCATCTTATAGTACAGACTTTTGAAAGCTGTTGTCTCTTTAGGAAACTCAAGTACTGCAGGAGGTCGCTCAGAAGAGGGCGAGAGTTTCTCCACCAGGGGTGAGTCTGATTTTAATCTCTCTATATCTTTGTCTGTCTGTCAAGTTATGCTTTTTTGAAACATCTTTATTTTTGTGTTGAGCTGAAATTATTAGTTGCTTAACAAATGAATCAATCAACAGAAAATGACTGTTGCAATTATTTTGATTCATAATTTTTAGAGGAAAAATGCAATCAATTTGTACGCACCACTTTGGGCTCAGTGAAATTGTAATGGGATTTTTAAATATATTTTATGAATTGATTATTGAGAAACACATCAATCGTTGATGAAAATAATTCTTAGTTGGAGCCTTCATTTTGTACAAATCTGTACAGCTGTGACGAAAGATTATCATCAATCATTGAGCGGTGAAGCCTGTCATGTTGTGCATTTATACCTGTAATGAGGGTTTTAAGTTACAATCATTTCATTGTAATTTGAAAAGGATAAAAACCATTTCCCTCACACATTGTGTAATTATTCCTTCGTGCCGCATCGGTCTACCTCCAGCCTGTTTTGCCCATGTTTTCCTCTAGAGAGCAAATCTCTTTATTGGCTGACCTTGCATGAACAGCCACCCTTCATTAGTCAACCTGGCCCTCTGCTCGTGCTCCAAAGCATGTTTTATCACTGACACGTTCGTTAGCTGCCAGAAGGTTAGACTGGAGCGGGAGGCTACAACCTGCTGCTTCACAGCAGCGAGGAGTCTCTCTCTCTTAAATCCAGAGGTGGCAGGATTAACGATGAGCATTTGATTAAAGCGGTTGCCCTGCAGGGACAGCTGAGGTGGCTGGAGCAGAGTGAGACCGGGCTAATTGCTGGAGTTTATCACAGAGAAGGTAGTGGCTGATGAGTTTTACCTCATGTCGTCCTATCTTACTTGATCTCAGCCGTCCCTCAGCGCTCTGAGGAAGAACACCATGCTGCTGATTAGTCCTGATTAGGGAACGTGCTCTGCAGTGAGTCAGTGTGTGTGTGTGTGTGTGTTGTCTCTTTACAGATGGAGAGCAGGAGGGCCTACGCAGGTCCACCTCCAGTCCTGATCATAGCAGGTAAGATGGCTCTGCCCTTCATATCTGTCTCTGAGCAGTGCAGAGAGAGATGTATTTGGAGGTTAAATTGCATCATTAGTGGCCTTTTCAAGTTCAGGTTTCTTTCCACTTTCACCATCCTTGTTTTATTTATGTCCATCTGCTAGTCTTACCTTCGTCAACTCATATCTTTTACAGTTTTCCTCTTTCTGCAGTGCCTCTGTAGCTGAGACAGAACACCGGCATTTGTCTTTTAATTGATTGTAGTTGTTTTTAAAGTGAAACAAAACAATAAAACAGAGCACCCTTGAAATTGATACAGTACATGGTCCAAAGTATGTAGACACCTGAACATTACACCCATATGTGATTTTATTCCAAAACTATAGACATTCATCTGCTGCAATAACAGCCTCCGCTCTACTGGTTTCAGGGTTTCATTATGGAACCTGACTGTATGAATTGGTTGGGGCTATAATCGTTAAAATATAGGGATAATGGAGTACAGTCTCTTCTGGAAGACATTCATAATGTCACATGAAAAGTGACTAGAAATAGTTGTCTTTCTTACCTCTACACAACTGGCCAATGAATGGTGTGAGTGAGTGGGTCTGACTCACAGAAAAGGTCGGCCTAAGCTATTTTGGTTTGTTTACATTTCTGCAATTCTTCCTGCCAAGTGGGAGGTATCATAGCTGTCAAATTCCTCAGATCCCTGACTTTGAATTACAACTCTGGAGTTTGGCGTGAAAAGTCTCATAAAGCAAAAACAGTGGGTGGAGAATTAAGGCCACTCCACCCCATGTTCATTTCAGCCTCAATTTGAATACAGTGCAGAGAGTGGGAACTGATGCTGGAACGTTCGCTCTTACATTTAGTTAAAAATAGGGGGATAATCACTACCTACACATAAAGTTGTATCTTTTCATAATGGTAAAAACTCAGGATTCAGGATTTGATTACTGTTCTGTCCCCATTCTGCTCAGTTTATTATTTTTCTACCTACATCCTTTACAATCCCCAAATTTCCTCTTCTCTCATTTACACCACTTCTGTTCTCATTCTTCCTCATTCTTTATAAGGTTGAGTTCAACAGCGTCAGGCTCAGACAGTCTCTTTGGACCACCGCTGGAATCTGCCTTCAAGTCCAAAAGCTTTGATAGTCGGGAACAGCTTGTAGAGCACAGCGCTTTTGGTGCCTCTGAATGTAAGAGTTGTCATCTTTGTTTGTATTAATACTGTGTTGTCCCAAATACAGACGCCCCTCATTTCCAATGTCTGTTTTTGTGTCAATCCTTATAGCATTATATCTTATGAAATACTTAAATTAAAGAAAAACATTAATCGCGCTTTTCTGTAGCTTGTCCAAGTGTGTTGTCAGTGCAGCTGATTCACTCTGCTGTGGATGATTATGATTTTGATGCTTGATATTCGCTGGCAGTAAAAAAAAAAAAAAAAAAAAAAATTAAACAAGAGGCAACGATGCAAATGGCCCGCACACCGATACATCCACCGACATACGATATTAACAAAACAAAAAGAAGAACGTTAAGAATTCCAGACTTCATTCTGTCCCACTGACAGGCCTATGCCCTTGCTTGTGCATGACATATGAAGCAACTTACAAAATGGCAAAGTCAGCTTTAGTGTCAATTTCTCCACATGTACTAGACATACAGAGGAATCGAAATGGCGTTCCACACTAACCAACCCACAGTGAAATAAAATTAATAAATTGCACAAACAACAAATGACTAAATTAAGAACAAAAACGTACTTAAAACCAAACAGCAAAGAGAAACTTTCTGTATTGATACAAAAATAGTGCAACATTGCAAAAACAGCAGCAAACCCAGGTTTGGTAGTGAGGTAAACACATTTGGTATTTGGTGCAAAATGTAAGATACCCGATGATATAATGGTGCAGAAAGAGGTCAGAGGGGAGGGGGTGGATGAGAGGGGAGAGAATTCAGCTTCCTTTGGTGTATAAAACTGTTCACGAGTCTGATGAAATGAGCGTGGAGGCTCCAATATCTTCTCCCAGAGGGTAGGAGGCTGAAAAACTGTGCTGGCTGTTGTCGCCGACAATCATGGTTGCTTTGCAGTTGAGGGAGATGTTGTACATGTCCTGCAGGGAGGGGAGTGAGGCACCAATGATCCTTTCAGCTGTGTTCACTATGTGCTGCAGTGATTTCCTGTTGTAGTCAGTGCAGCTACACTGCCCCACACACTGATGCAACTGGTTAAGATTCTCTCAATGGGCCTAGAATGTGCACATGATGGGTGGGTGGACACTCTCTCGTTTGAGTTTGCGGAGGAAGTATAGGCGCTGCTGGGACTTCTTTAACAGTGACATGGTGGTGGGGGGGATTTGATGTATGAAATGACTAGCCGTTCAAAGCACTTCATGATGATGGGGGTCAATGCCATGGGGCGACAGTCGTTAGAGCAGGATGGAGTGGGTTTCTTTGGCACAGGTATGATGGTGGTGGCCTTGAAGCATGATGGGACAACAGACAGTGAAAGGTGACAGGCACAGAGCCTGGTTGTCAGGAGTTGGGCTCTTCTGTGGCTGTGTGTTGTTTTGTGCTTCAAACCGTACAAAGAACCTGTTGAGGTTATTGAGCAGAGAGATGTTGTTATCGCAGATCTGTGGCGCGGGTTTGTAGTTTGTGATGGTCTGAGGCTCTGTGTGTCTCTGCTGTCTTTAAAATGATGGGTTATCTTGTTTGTGTATTTCTGTTCTGCTTTCCTGATGCCACGAGACAGGTTAGCTCTTGCTGTTCTCAGGCCAGTTTCATCTTCAGCTCTGAAGGCTTTCTTTCTGGCCCTTTGCAGCCGATGGATATCCCCTGTCAGCCACGGCTTCTTGTTAGCCCGAGTGATGGTTTTTGTGTGAGTCACATCATCAATGCACTTACTGATGTAAGAAGTGACAGTTTCTGCCAAAAGGTTTGACAAAGTAGCATGCCCAGATGTGCTGCATCTCCAGTGTCAACAGCTGCTGTGATGGAAATGCCCACACACGCTGAAACTGTCTGTATATTGTCTCAGCTCGGGGATTTACAATGTGTATGATTTTAAAAGGTAGTTAAAATAAACTGTACATTAAGCCTCATAAATACACATACGCTACTTAGTGGCAGCTGAGTCAGTTAGCTGTCTGATTGATTGAATCAATAAACCACAAAAACAAATTTTCAGTTTGAGTTTGAAGAGTACTTCATCGCTTCCAAATTAAGACAGGAAAACATATGGTTGAGCTACTTCTTAAAACAAGGGGGAGGTTAGATTTACATTCTCTCAAAAATAACTGTGGTTTTAACTGTACTAGCTGAAGCATTAATAGAACTTTTAATCCTTTGTCCCCTCATCCCAAAGCTCATCAGATAACTTAATTTCCAAGCCTCCCTGAGATGATTAGAGGAGATATCAGATTTTATCAGAGATATCGATCTATATCAATATATATATCCTTTAGACTGGTTAAGCTATTTGGTGCTCGCTCCATTGAAAGAAGCTTTTATGAATATGAAAACGTCTCAACCTAAGATATAACCCGACCCCCACTGTTTCAGATATAATATCAAGAAAGAAATACTGTTATATTTGGGCCAATATGGTAAATTGAGGTTGATACTGTGTTTGATTTACTTTCCTTTTCTTTACTGCAGTTCTTTGTTTCCTACTGGTATTGATAACCTCTGATTTCCTGCCCTGTATTGAAATCCTGTAATGGACTTAATGTTTGTGTCAGATGCTGCCTTCTCGTCCGACTCCTCCTCTCCGGAGAACGTCGAAGACTCTGGCCTGGACTCGCCTTCCCATCAGACCCTTGGGCCCTCCCCAGAGCCGGTGGGTTGGGCAGCTTGGCCTCCTGTGTCACAGAGTAAAGAACAGACACAAACACTGGGGCGACCTGCAGACCCTTTCCTCACTGCTTTCCGTGACCCCTCCCCTGGTCGGAGTCCTCACCCACAGGACGACCCCGCCAGTATATGGTCCGTCGCCCCGTCACGTTCCTCTCGTGTCCCCCAAGATATGGACCCCACATCCATGCGGTTCCCTGCTTTCTCCCAATCCCTCCCCCCACCTGAGATGGAGTCATCTGTGTGGAACTGCAAACACATCCCCCCAGAGGACCCCTTCCTCGCTGCGTTTGAGAGGACTGTCACCCAGGACAATTTAAATCTGTCTGACGCCTGGGCGCGCCCACCGCCTCGCCCGACCCAGGAGGTCAGGGGAATGGAGGTGCGTGGAGACCCATTCTCCATGACCCTCGCTGACACTAAGACACTTCCAACCTCATCCTCCTCCTCCTCTTCATCCTGCTCTAATCGTAAAGACAGAGACAGGAAACGAGATAGGAGCCTTCCGCCTCCTGTTTCTTCTGATGACCCGTTTGCGATCACGATGATTGGCAGCCCAACGCACCAGTCGTCACTGGCTGCAGCAGCTGGGTTAATCCCTCCACAAAGCGGCAGCGGCGGTGGTGTCTCTACCATTAGCAATAGACTGGGACTCGATGCTAATTCAAGCTCTTTGCCCACCGCCCAGCCCAAGAAGGAGCTGATGCACTGGAACTCTGTCCACAACCCGTTTAGTGACGGTGCCTCTGGAACGCTGGGTAGATCCAAAACACAGGAAGGAGGAGGAAAAGGAGATGGAGCAGGAGAGAGGAGAAAACATCGATCATCAGAAAGTGAGCCACGCAGGAATGCCCCTCCACTCACGAGGCATTCAGGACCACAGGAGGATCTGTGTTTTTCCACAGACAAAGATCAAGACTGCCTGGATCTGAACACTCAGATAACATGCGGCTCTCACAAGGGTACTGATGATTATTATTATTATAATTTTTTTTTTTTTTACATCGAGGTTGATACATGGCAACAAGTTGATCTTAACAAAAACAATAAACAAATAAGGTTATAGTGAGATACCCATTCACACGATTGAAATCTAAAAAGTCAGTTTACTGATTTCCTGAAGTCCAAAACAGAAACAGAAGAAGCTGCAACTCTCAATAGAGGGTCCAAGGGACACAAGTACACATAGATGCAAAGTTAATGACATTTTTTTGAAAAGGAAGAAGAGAAAGGGAAAGAGATAGAAAGAGCATATTAGGCAAGTAAAAAGTGGCAGATCTTCAAGTGATTCTGGAAGACAGTGAGGGATTGTGCTGACCGTTTAAGTTCAGTAAGGCCACGCAGAAGAAGAGTTTGCTGCTGCATTTTAGACCATTTGCAGATGTTTTACTGTCCGTGCTGGCAGCCCTGTCATAACGTAGTCGAGGCGCAAGAGATGACCAGAGTAAAAAGTAGAGCGGCATACTGAGTCAGAAAATACATGATCTTTCCCATTATTTATATTGGCTGTAATCATGCAAACCACAATGAAAATGCACAGTAGAATATATTTGCTATTTAAGATCTACGCCCTTAATAAACATAAATCAGGAGTCAAAGGTATTGCTGAACCAAACCATCCACCCAGGACTTTCAGAACATTGGCCCCGAACAGTTAATTGGGACACATCTTAATATACAATGCAGGAAAGTAGGGCTGCAATTAACAATTGTTTTCATTGTAGATTATTATCTTGATTAATCAGATAGTTGTTTGTTCTAGAAAATGTCAGTGTTTCCCAGAGCCCCAAGATGACGTCCTCAAATGTCAAAAGGAATTCAGTTTACTGTTATAGAGGAGTAAAGAAAAGAGAAAATATTCACATTTAAAGCTGTGACAGGCAACGCTGAAGAAACTAGCAAGAGACAGACAGAAAAAATCCCACCCCCTCCCTTTAGGCCCCTCTCCAAAGCCACTCCACCAAAACACTTTTGTACAGTGAGTGCACAGCTAGGTAGGCAGGCCGGGCAATCATTTCATTCAGACCAAATGAAATGCTTATTACAGTCCTTCGACAGCCACAGAAATAGGATTTTTTTCATTTTTGTGTCAGAGCATTTCATTTATTGATCAAACCGATTAATCGATTAGCAAAATACTTGCTAATCAATAATTGACAACTAAGTGGTTAATCGTTGCAGCGCCAAGGGAAAGTTCCCATGTCTATTCTGCACTTCAACAGTTAAATTATGTGAAGCAGTACACCTCTGCGCTGAGACAGCCTTTTTAATTAGTCAGCATGAAACCTAATCTTTCCTTCGGGGATCTGCCTGAACAGTCGTTCATTAAGGGCTTATTCAGCTAAACCTTTTTTTAGTTGATAAATTAGCTGCAGTTATTTTCTTAGGTGGAATTATGCATATTATCTGAATGATGATAGAAGATTTAAGATGGATATTTGTCAAATCAGGATCTATTTAATCATGTGCTGTCAGGAGTGAGGATGATGTACTGCTTTTTGGGCTGAAATGATTAGGTGATTAATTAAATCAAATCAATCGATAGAAAATTAATCTTCAACTATTTTGATGAGTGATTAATCATTTTGAGTCAGTTATTAAGCAGAAATGCCAAACATTATGTGATTATGCCTTTTAAAATATGAGGCTTCTATTTAGTAATAGCCAGCTAAATATCTTTGTGTTTTGGACTGCTGCTCGAAGAACTCACCTTGGGCTTTAGGAAATTGTCATTGTGAAAAAAATGTTCCCAGTATTTTCTGACATTTAAAAATACGATTAGTCGATCAAATAATATTGGCAGATTAATCAAAAATGAAAATAATTAGTTCTAACTGATTTTGTTAGAATAGAATCCTATTAAAGTATTTTCATCATAGTTGTTTACATCTTCAAAATATACCTTTTTCAGTTCATTTTTATATCTTTCAGAAGAGACACAACAATTACTTTAAAGTTCTTACACACCACAAAGTCTCATTTACTGGTGCATCGGTTTAAAAACTCTGACTGTAAAGGAAAAAAGAAATCCCACACACACTGTCGGCCTTTGTACTCACTTTATTAACAACCTTCATCAGGTAAAATTTACATCATCAGAAATTCATACAAATGAACAAAACGCCACACACTTAAAATAAGTACATGTGATGCAGGATTTTTTTATCCTTTCTCACTAAAGAGGGAAATCTCATAGAAGAATATTCAGATGCTAAATCTCTCAATTAAACCAAAACAAATATAATGTTTTTAGGTTTTGTGCCAGCTGAACAAGATGCGCCGCGCATCTCTTCTGGCTGGTTTTCGAGGATGGACTGAAAGATCAGCTTTCAGTCACTTTGTGTGTCTGTGTCTTTGTAAGGTTCCAAGCCTAACTTCAGACAGGACACAACTGAAGCAGTTGCAGCTGCTCCCCCGAGAGCAGCCCGGGCCAAGAGGACTTCAGGCCGACTCAGCGGCTGTGAGAGGGTGAGTATCAGTAATGAGTTAACAGCTCAGTTTTATGGTTATAACTTTATTTGACTTAACTACTCTAAAATTAGAGTAGCCTCAATACTCTGTTTTATTATTTAGATATTAAGGGCATCATAATTGGAGAAATAACTGTCAGTGACAGATATCAGTGTAACCTACTCTGATCTAATAGTGTCTTTTAATAGTGTAAATATGACCTGTTGATGGTTCTGAAGTTTTTAAAATGTCCAAAATTTATATTGTATAACCAAACTAATGTAAACTGTATGAATGATAATTATTACTTAATGTAAATGTTTGACAATGTAGAGGCATAATCTTTATGAAAAATAGTGCCAGTATTGATCCAGCTTTGTCCCTGTGTGTTTCAGTCCCGGTCTCTGTGCTCCTCCCCACTGCCAGAGCCCAGTCCCTCCCTCACCTCCTCCTCCTCCTCCAGCCCCAGTGAGTGGGGGCCTCAGGTCAGAGAGAACGACTGGGGGGGTCAGAACCGAGCACCCAGTCCTGCCAGGGTAGGACAAGCTTCACCGTTGCCCTACCAGGACCACCAACAAAGGCCTTGTAAGCCTCAGCACATAAATAAAGTTACATGATTGATGTTTGAAAGTAGTGGCATAATTTCTGTTGAAGTGGGCATGTGCCAGCAAGATAGCGCAGAGACAGATGTACTGAAAGGAATCATTTGAGTGTTTGGGAAATTCGCAGAGAGTTAGATGAAAAGTTGATACCTCTCTCATGTCTGTACACTAAATATGAACTTCATTTTTGTACATTGGTACAAAAACCAAAGTGCTTACAGCCAAGAAATAGTCCCGCAAATAACTCCCTGGAAAACTGCTGGAAAATGTTTAATTTTTACTATTTGGTTTTTGTACGAATTAAACAAACATGATGTAATGTGTTAATTAATGAGCTTTAAAGGCGCTGTAGGCAGATTTTGTTATGTTCAGACAGTGTCAAATTAGCTGTTGTCTAACTGCTGTTTATGCTAAGCTAACCAGCTGCTGGCAGTAGCTTTATATTTACTGACTACATGACTTCCATTTGTTTTCCACAGTGCACCTGTCGCGAGGTCCCAGTCCCATTTCCCTCAGCACACAGGAGGCCTGGCCGGTGGCCGCAGCCATAACAGAATATATAAATGCCTATTTCAAAGGTGGACAGCACAACCGGTCAGCATAATGCTACTTTTTCAAAAAAATCACAGAAAACAAATCTCTGCTCCTAAAGGGGAACTCAGATTATACACATCAAAGTCTGTTTACAGGTATTGGGGAGTAATATTATTTTTACATGTATGTGTGGGGGGAAAAAAAGTTGTAAAACACCTTTTGTGTCTCCAGAGGGAGCTGCTTGAAGCCAACAGAATACTATAAAAACCAGTACATTAAGATGTCTTCAAGCAATATACTAATAGTGCAATGCTAAATAGGTGGAGTACTCTGTTAAAGGCATTCTGTAGTGATTTAGGATTGCTCTTCCATAAATCTGAGAGGCTTGTGGAAAGCAGACGGAAGAAAATGAAAAATTCAAAGCAGCAAAGACCGAGATATCCTGACTTTATTTCCAAAATGCAATTGATTGCAACTCTTATTAGACCCACCCGACTGGTAAACGGCCATATCTTTTGAACTCCATGCTACCCATTTGCAGCGCAGGCTCTCTGTTAACCCCTGTCTGAACCCCAGTTTGAGTCTTCAGCTGAGCAGCACTCCTCTTGTTGTTAATATGTAAAATGTGGTGGAGTTCCCCTTCAATGACATCTACAATGTTTATTTGTTGGATGCTTGTTAACAAAATCACAGAGTTAACTGGATTAAATTTAACTCTATTTGTGTGTTTTTTATTTGCCCCAGCTGCCTGGTGAAGATCACGGGCGACCTGACGATGTCCTTCCCTGCGGGCATCACCCGGATTTTCACAGCCAACCCCAACGTTCCTGTGCTCAGCTTTAGACTTGTCAACATCTCAAGGATCGATCACTTCCTGCCAAATCAAAAGCTGCTCTACAGGTCAGCTCTGTCCTCTGCATTTTGAATCACAGCTGTGTTTTTGATTGTATACAATGATTTCCCAAACCTGCCCCATGTGCCTCTACAGTGATCCCTCTCAGAGTGATCCAGACACCAGAGACTTCTGGTTCAACATGCAGGCACTGCAGCTCTACCTGCAGAGAGAAGCTGAACTAAACCCTCAGGCCTCGTACTACAACGTTGGCCTTCTCAAGTATCAGGTTAGGATTTCAAATGTATCTTCTACTTATGTGGTCGATTTAAAGACTTTGTTTTTCTGACATCCTAATCAGTCCCACAGTTTATTTCAGGCATCTTGGATAGTGTTAATTTAAAACTTCTTTCAATATTCAGTACTGATGCTTTATTTTACAGGATGAGAATGTCCTAATGATTTACAGGAAGTTTACTGAAAAGAAAATCTCAATTTAAGACCAAGTAAATCTTGTTCGCTATTAGTGAACTATCATTGGAAATATTGTTCTTTTTTCTTGTAGGCGAATTTCACATTTCTGCATGTTCTGGAAGATTCTCTGTGTTACCCTATAAATAAGTATTTTAACTGAACACTGTCTCCATTTTCCCTATAACTGGTACCAAGTATTATTTGTCTAGAAAACTTTTTTCAGGAAATTATTCAGAAATTAGGGACCCATAAAAAAAACAAACATATTTTGTAAAACCCAATCATTAATTTGACTTAAATCAGTTTTATATGACCGTAACATTACACCAAACCTGCTATGGGAACTTTTTTCTTAGTCTTAAATTCATTTAAACTTATAGTCTCCTTTGTTTCCTCAGGTGTCGTCTCAGGACCCTGGTCGGGCTCCCCTCCTGCTGTCTGCAGAGTGTCAGCGTAGCGGCACAGTGACCCGGGTGTCCCTGGATTACCACTGTTGCCCCGCCACCGCGCCCTCTACCCAGCTCACCGCTGTCCAGGTGCTGCTGCCGTTAGACCACACTGCCACAGACCTGCAGTGCCAACCACCCGCCTCCTGGTGAGCAGTGATGATGGAAGGACAGATAGTTTCTGTTGACTTGTAACAGTCACATGTAACCTGTGAAACGTCATAATATATCAGCAGATGCACTGTTAATGACATGCTGGGAAGAATAGAGGGTAGAACTAATGACCAAAATACAACACAAGATGCAGGTCAGACCTCACTGACTGCTTATTTGCCTAAGTAATATATAGAAATGTACTTCCTAAAATCATCTTAAAGGGGGGTTTTAACAGTTAACATTATGGTACATGTGGTGAGAAATGAGTCGTATCCTCCCTCATTTTATCTACTTCTTATGAAGGCCACAAACTAAACCACACAGGTCTTATCACAGTGGTATGTATTTTAACAGTATACAATTTAAGGCTGTGGCTTATGATTATTTTCATTATTGATTCATTTGAGGATTTTCTTAATTAATCGCTTGTTCTATAAAATGTCCAAGAGCCAAAGGAGACATATTCAGATGTCTGGGTTTTGGACAGTTGGTCAGACAAAACAAATGATATTCAGTTTACAATCACAGAAGAGTAAAAATGTTCACAGTTGGAACCAGAAGCAAATGTGGAACCAGTCTAACTTTAATATTGTTGCTTAAAATTTTAATTGTTACCAAAATTGTTGCATATCTGTTAATCATTAAATTGATCAGTCGACAAATTGTTTCACCTCCAGCGTACTTCGAAAGAATCCAATCAAATTAAAATAACTAGTGCTGAAGTATTTAATAAATTTCTTGTTTCTTGTTGCTTGATAAATGAAGTGAATGACTAAGACTAGGGGTCTATAGTCACGGAAGTGACTGAACTAAATGATGACATTTGTTCACGATAACAACACTAACGTGGTTAAAAAATATAATGTTCACTATTTAAGTTTAGTGTGTTAGCATGCTAACATTGAATAATTAGCACCAAACACAAGCAACAGCTAAGGCTGATGGGAATGTTGTTAGTTTAGTAGGTATTTGGTCATAAACCAAAGTACTGAACAAATTAACTAATGAAGTTGCTACAGGAAAGGTTAGAGGCTCAATAACGTGATTACAATTCGTCCTGAGCAGCACATGAATGTTTGTGCCAAATTTCATGGCAATCCATCCAATAGTTGTCAAATTATTTCACTCAAAAACATAAATATGAACGGTGGCGCTAGAGGAACCGTCAGAGGATCAGTCAGTGGGAATTATCCTCGGGGGATAATAAATGTCATGGCAGTCCACCAATAGCTGGTGAGATATTTACATCTGGACCAAAGTGGTGGATGGGCAATCAGATACTAGCAACTAGCATTTCTAGTTTCTGAAATGTGAAGATTTACTATTTTTTATTTTTATTATTTATTATTTATTTATTTTTGTTTTGTTTTGTTTTTTGTCTGTTATGTAAATTTGTCCATATTGATCAAATAAAACTCTTGTGATGACATTTTTCAGCATATGCAAAGTGATTAATCGCAAAAATTTAAAAACAGATGAATCGGTATTGAAAATTAGTGATGTTTGCTGCTCTAAAAATTACAGAAATGTTTTGAGAACCCACCACCATTATCGGTGGTAACGTGCCATTTAAGAATTTGAGCGTGACTGTGATGGAGAAATTTTAAAGAAGGTCAAAGGTTTGAGAGACCAAGAGGCAGGTTCAGCCTCACTGACTTTTTTTATTTGCCTCTGCAGGAACGCTGAGGAAAGACGGCTGCTGTGGAAACTCCCCAACATCTCCCCGACCAACCACAGCAAAGGTCAGAGCTCTGCTGCTGCTCTCTTTTTAACACTTTGCTCCATCTATTATTCAAGCCTCGTCGAACAAGGAAAAGTTTGATAACAAAAGGTTTGGAGAGGGACACTGTGCACGCTCACACCTTGACATCTACGTAACTGACAGCCTATTTTGTGTCTATCATAAGCAGCCGTCTGATTCTTATATTTTCTACTTCATTGCCTTCTCTCCGTGTTCACATCCCTACATTGTGTCATACAAATGTAGAAATGAGTAATTAAGAGTTATGTAAAGAGATACTGCACTGCACATCCTCTGTTTCAAAAGCTGTGGTCTGAAGGCGTATCATTACCTTTTTAACTGCAACATTAGCATTTGAACGTGGCAGCTGTTCTCATCAGCCTGGTGGAGGTGCTTCTGAATACTGAACTGACACGAAGACGAGCATTTTTATTTCTTTTTTATTATGTGTCAAATTAATTGTTGCTCTTATTTCACAACCTTGATGGTGTACAGATAAGAGATGGCATATAACTGTGCCTTTTTATGCTCTAATTTAAGATGGTGAAGTCTAAAATGACATCAGATTTGAGCTTGAGGTTTCCTTCACCTGTGTGCTTCTTTGTACCAGACTCCCACATTCCCTCTTTTTATTTTAGTCTTTTTTTTCTCTATCTAATGATATATTATTACCTCGGTGTGCAGCTACAGGCTTGGAGAATAGAGAAGAGACCATTCATAGCCATCAGTGATGGATGGGATGTTAAAGGCTGAAAATGTTTGTAGTTAGAAGACGTTTCTGGTTTAATAGCCACTTACAAAGAACAGAAAGGTCACCATAACTCCTCCCTGTCCCATCTAAAAATGCTGTTTTCCTGCACAGTGTTTCTTTCATCACTTAAATGTTAAGAGTGTTGCTTTTCATGAATAATGTCTGGCAGAGTTGAGTGAGTAATTCATTTATTTTACTGGACATCTTGTAAATGTTGTGGTGGGGTAGGCATTTCTCAGCTTGATA